TGTTTAAGGCTTTGACCGGGATGTTCTTTTGTTAAATCTTATGTGGTACCGCCTGATTTGACTTCTAATGGTTAAGTGAAGTGTTTTCTTCGCGGTACGGTCTGGATTCGTAAATATTATGAAGACGAGCTTCGGCTTCAAAGGGTTAACCAGCTGATTTTCGTAATGGTGAGGTGTAGTGTTTTCTTCGCGGTACGGACTGAATTCATAAATAATATTCAGACGATCTTCGGCTTCAAAGGGTTAAAAGGGCTCTTGAGGACAGATCGCTGAAATCTGCGATTTTAAAAACGTTACCTGGTCGTACAAAAAAGATGGGCTTTGGATTTTTCTGAAGCCAACTTGAGTATTTGTTGAATTTATTTCTATCATTCGATGACGCCTGCTTCTAGAAATTTTCAGCAAATAGACCTATCTTTAAAAAAAATATGGACCTGGGAGGTTTCTGACACCGACATTTCAAATTATTCTACACAAGGAAAGTAAATTAATGAAATAATTTTGAAGTAAATACGTCGGACTCATCAGCGAGTTCGGCCATTTTAAGCATACACGACATAAGAAGCTTATCGTGCGATTAGAAACGTTCTTCGCGTATTTTCTCTTCGCCATGGAAACGCAGTCGTTTGTTCCGCGGATTCTACTCGTTACACCCACTAACAGCCCCTCGGCTTTCTCCGTTCACAAAAGAGTTTGGCAAAAGCCGAGATAAATACACGCGAAAAATGAAAACCAATCCCTGACAGGGACCACGCGTGTACGATCCAAGGACTGACGTCACACACACACGGAGACGGAAACACGCTTCTCTTCGAAAAAGAATTCTCTCGAAATTAATTAAAGTACATTTAAATGCACCATCAATTTAAATGGACTATTACTATTTTTTCTAACAGCTGACTGACATATTCAATGACATCGCTGCTCTTAACAACACCCACGCGCTCATAAAGGCTTCTCAGACGTGCTCAGATTTCCGTGTTTTAATACTGCGTGAGGTTACGACGATACGGCTACCATCTGAGGTTTCATTACGTTAGCCGGCTCACACGTTTCCACTGTCCGTCAGCTGAGGCACATCTACAAAATCAGCCGAGTGACTCATCTGTCTAGAGATTTTATGCGCTAAAAACCAACTCAGAATGCGAAAAAATACACAAAAACTATTCTTTCGTTACTAAAAAAACACTTCAATTTTTGGTCATATGGTGGGGGGGAAGGGGGGGGGGGAAACGCTTC